GGGCAGCCTCATCCCACATCTCATTCCTAACGCATCTCTCCCCTTTGAGGTAAAGAGGGTAATGGCAAGTGATGACAGGGAAGCAGTCAATAAGGGTTGCTTGCCACTGGCTGGAAAAATACAGGGCAAACTGAGAGGTCTGCCTGCTGTGGAGGGACTGTGCATCAAAGAGAAAATGAGAACCTGTAAAACATTCTGCTACGTGAAATCAGCCAGACACAAAAAAACAAATATTGTGTAATTCCAGGTATATGAGGTTTCTAGAATAGAAAAATTCATAGTAACAGAAAGTAGAGTAGAGGTTATCAGGGGCTGGAGGAAGCAGGAGTGGAGAGTTACTGTTTCATGGGAACAAAGTTTCTGTTTAGAATGATGAGAAAGTTCTGGTTGCACAACATTGTAAATGTACTTAACACCACTAAATTGTACACTTAAAGATGGTTATAATGATAAATTTTATGTTATGTATATTTTACCCAATAGAAAAATAACAAACATTAAAAACAGGAAAAGGGAAAAAAGGAAAGTATTTTTGCTTTGTCCCTAATGGAACACTTAAAAATCACAAGGGCTATACATGAGGACCTGAATGAGGCTATGATTTTAAAAAGGTGAAGTTTTCCAACAGAAAATAAAATTTTCTTTCCAGTGACTTAAGCAAAGCTGGCTCTTGAAAGCACCCCCTCCCCGTAACACACAAAAGAGCTGCTATTCTTGTTGAAATGTGAGTCGACCTTCTGCATTAGCCTCACTGGGTTAACAACTGTTAAGAAATCGCAAAACTACAACTCAGGCGTGGGGCTAAATTAGTCTAGAAATTGTGTTTCCAAAGGAACTACCACGACAAATTTAAAAAGCTAAGCTGCGTTAAATAGAACCTCTCCAGGGTGGAGAGTTTGAAGTAGGGCTAGGAAAAAAAGGCACAAAAACAACGCTGGGAGCTTTTGACTGCAAGCAGGTAAACACTGGATTTTACCCACATCCCTAGTGGAAGGTTTTCCCCAAATTTGAGTGACTGGCCTGGAGCCTTCCTCCCTTGCATGGCCCCCATTGATACTCATTTCTGACTGGCCAGCCCCTGAATGCTGCATCAGCACCACGTGGTGATGTGCATGACCCAGGAGTGGGTCTGTCATGGCGCCCTGTGTCTGCCTCACCCAGTCATAATTCAAGAGGGCAGGGATCAGCACAGCTGGAGAGCAGTTCTTTGTAAATCCTCCGTATGTGATCAAAGACGGTACCCTGATGAGCAAGTCTTTCCCCTCTGTGATTAATAAGAAATTATAAGAAAGCTCTATAACTAGGGAAAATATTTCCTTTCTCTATCTAAAGTCAGCTTTCATACTGTTTTATGATGTTTCTTCGAAATAAATACAAGAGGAGCATCTGTATGGAGAACCACCACTAATTTCAGGGCATCAGGTATCAAAGAAAATGCCATTTATCTTGCACTGGTGGAGGAAAAAAACTGCTTGAGCAGTTCTGATTTCCTTTCCCTCTGCATCACTAGACAGGAAAAAAAAAAAAAAAAAAGGAATCTAGCTTATTGCTCGCCCCGCAACCTCTACTGCCGCAGATGGTAGCTGAGTACGTGGAGCGAAGCCTTACTTCATTTCTTTCCTAAAGATCATCCATCATACTTTTAACATGTCTCCCATAGACTTCTCTATCTCACTTGGCAGTGAACTCCCTTCTTTGAGGGGAAAGAAAATGACCCTGAAAGATGTATTTCTGGTACTGGAGATTCATTTCTTCTTTAAAGGGATCACAGTTAACTGTAAAAAAAAAAAAAATTGTACTCCTAAATGCTCAGCTTGTCATTTATAGACAGTGACTGAACTGCATGCCAATCATTACTAATTATCCTGTATGAAATACAATGAGCTTCCAAAACAGATTGGTTTCCCATTTAGATTCTGTCTTTAAAAAATTAGGTAATAACTCCTGGTTTTATAAGGTCAAACTGGATTTCATAAAAAGAAACGGGTTTCTTTTTTAAAGGCTTATGTGCTTGTCATTTATTTATTCATTCCTTCATTGAGTAACTACTGAATGGCTACTTCTTATATAGAAGGTGCTTTCCTAGGACATGTGAAAAAATAAAGAAAAAAGACCTCACTCTTAAGTGTGTGAATGTCCTGTTAAATGTCCTGTCCCTGTAACTTGTATGTCGGCCAATGGAGAAGGTCAATAAACTCAGGAAGCATGTTTTATCCACTTTGAGCATGCACAAGTGAGTGACCACACTCTTGAGGGATGAGGCAGCTTAATTATAAGGGCACTGTGGCAATCACCCCTTGTTAGGGCAACTGAACACTCTGTGTCTGTTAGAATGTCTCAGAACAGTAGCTAGTGTGCCCTGATATCCTTCAGGACTGTCCTGTTCCCCATCCCTTCACGGTGGAATTTACTTCTGACCCAGCTGTCTCCTGCAGCTTTAATTTACCCAACTCATCTGGGAGCTTGCTGGTGCATTCTCCTGGAGAGCTGGGCCTCTGAGCAGCAGGACTAAAGCACAAATGCACGTTATGAAGTTGAGCATGAGGAACTCATTTTAGGAAACACACAGGTTTTCACAGGCTCTGGCCACTGCCCTTTGTCTTTCTATCTTCCTCCTCTGGGGTGTCTTCATGCCCTTGAAATATCCAAAATACTGCCTGTGAAGGTTAGGCTAATAATGGCTAGTAATACTTTTGCAGAAGGGTTCTTCCAGGGAAGTCTCTCTTGTCTCGGTCTTAAGTCCCTCATCTTACATTCCCCACCCTCATTCTAATGACAGCTCTGGGGCCACAGTAAAAATCCCCTTGGGTCATCGTCACAAAGAAAGCCCTTGGCCGATCTATCTGGGTCCCTCATGAGCACGTGCCTCAGGCTGACTGATCTAAGTCTCTACTTGAGCCCTTGCATTTTAAAGTCCCTCTAGAGCAGGGTAGTTCTTCAGGGAATTACTTGTCCAGACATGGCACCATTTTCCAGTTATCCTCCAGTCAGTATTGATTAAGCCCTTGTTGGAAATAACTGATGTCATGGTCCAGGTATTCCTGAGACCTCAAAGATGAGGCCACCATCCCATAGGGAGCTCTCATTGTCCCTGAAGCAGAAAGATGGCCTCAGATGCTGTGAATGGAGAAGGGGGGGAGATTAGCTCAGTGTCACTAGCTGACTTTACAAAGGAGCAGGAGGAGGCCTAGGATGGTAGAGTTCCCATGGTGAACTTCACCCATCAAGACAACTCCACATAGAAATGAAAGACCAGGGTCAGCTGGTCCTGTCTGCTGACTGCATGGGCTTGAACCCTGAGCCCTCTCCCCACAGGCACCATTAGTTGTAACTGCCTAGAGGGGCAACTGGGAGCGGCCTCTTTCCTGAGCTGACCTCTGAGGCTGAGTGGGTGGGTGGAGGAAGGAGTGGTTGTGGTGGTACCTCTCACTGACCTTGCCTGGGGAGGCCTAGGTTAGGCCCTGACCTCATGTTCTTTCTCAGGGGAACTCCTAGAGGGGGCTGGGCATGTGGGTGAGGTGAGGTGGGGACAGCCAGCATGCGTGTCCTCTGGTTGATGACGTGGGAGGACACTCAAGAATCCATACCCCCACCTCCTGATAGGGCAGGAGGGGAAGGAAGGCAAGTTTTTCTCTGACACCCCCGTTCCAGTGTCCTTCAGATTGTCTTCTGCAGAATGAAGTGAATGAACAGGCCGCCCTGCCCCTGAAGATGGCACTGCAGCCCGTCTGGCTTTCAGGTGGCATCACCCTCACCTGACTCTCCAGGTGTGTCACAAACTGCACGCTCTATAGTATAATGTTGAGGATTGATCCCAAGTAAACATTCAAGATCCTTACCTACTTCTTCAATGCTTCACTACTTCTTGATACAAATGTCTGCCCTCTTCCTCATCCTCGATGCCAGATGTCTTCCCTCCTTCTTATCTCTCATCCACCATCTCCTGAACTCCTTGTATCCATCCCTTAGAACTCAGTCCAGTAGGCCCTGCTCTCTTCCTTAGCCATACCACCTCCCTACACACTTCTACTATTGGCTCTCAGACTCTTTTATAACAGTTTTATCCAGCTGTCTGTCTCCTAGATTCCACCATGAACTCCTGGAAGGCAGAGAACTATCTTTGGGTTCTGAATATCTAGCAACATACCAGGCACATACTTATGCTCAATAAATTTTTTTTTGCTGAATGAATGCTGTCTGATTTATGAAAACTGTGTCTTTATTATTTAATGTATGTGCTCTATCTCCTTAACCTGATTTTGTGCTTCTGGAAGCCAAGGATTGTGCCTCATGATCCTCTGCAGTTCCAACAACTGGTAAAGCAACCAACATGTGAAGTATCATTAAGCCTTATGGTTGATGGTGATGATGTCAGAATAATAATAAGGATGTGTCTCAATGTGCATTGATTACTTATGTGTCTATTTTTAAGGATATACCAGTAATGATCATATAGATATGGTAAGAGCAACCACTGGTTAAGTATTTACAAAATGCCTGGTACTGTCCTAAGTGTGGTAGGAACATCAGCTCATCTACCCTAAAAACTGCCTTGGCAGACAAGTGTCAGTTCTCATTTTGGAGAAGGAGAAATGGAGCCTGTTGAAGTTTAATGAAAACTCTCCAAGATCATACAGCTAGTAAGGTGGGGAGCTGATGCCTGAAATCAGTCCTTTTAAACTCCAGAGCAGGACATCTCTCCCACTGCATCTCCTTCATCTGATGGTTCTGTTATCCTGCTGACGTTCCATGTCATTTCTGGAGCCAGGAGCCACAGCGAGCAAGGAGGTGGGAAGCTGCTGGAAGGAGCCGCCCTCTCGCAGGTGCCTTCCGCACAAAACATCCTTCTCCCTAGTGAGGCTGCCGCTGCGGGAGTTGGATATTGAATTTAACAGGCAATAATTGGTGTTACCAAAGGAGGTACGAGCAAGGTTGCCAAATTCCACCAAGACAGGCATCGAAAGCAAAGATGGCCCTGCCTGGTGGGAGCCCTGACTCACCATGTTGAACACGGCCATGGTCAGTATGATGGCCGTGGTGATGACCGTGAGGCAGATCCGTGGCCAGGGGCGGTTCGCGATGATGCCCGACGACTTCAAAAGCCACAGGAGAGATGCAGAGGCCTTTTTGCTGCATTGCTGTGAGGAGAGAGAAAGAAAAAGAAATGTATTGCTATTTTGTGTATTCTCTCAGGTTTCTTAATGATGTTTAAAACCACAAGATGCACCCATATTCTTCCCAGATTAAACAAGTAGGCTCTGTCCTCCCCTGGGGTCCCATACCAGCTCCCAAACCTTGTTAAAATTATGTTGGCATCATTGTGACAAATTAGGAACAAATTAACTAAATTTCTATGATAAATGTAGGATGTGCTTGTATGTCCTTTAAAACAGACCTGAAATTATGTTTAAAAAAAAATCTTCTGGTAAAGGAAAAATATGTCAGTTAATCAAAACACTCTGGAGGATGTGCTGGGTCTCAGATTACAGCTATGATGAAGCAGTTGTTATACATTCAGCCGATTTATGTAGAAAACAGATGAACACGTAGCTAATCATAAGAATACAACTGGACCACAAAATGGTTTGGTGCCTGTACCTCCAAAGACAACACCCAAAGCACACACACCCAGGTGTGTGTCGTGGTGATGTCTTTACTTCATCCCATCTTGTGGGGGCTTCTTCCCTCACAGAGAAGCTCTCTTTTAAATTTTTAATTGTGTTAAAAAACATACAATATAAAACTTACCCTCTTATCCATTTTTAAGTGCACAGTTCAGTAGTGTTAACCATACTCACATCACTGCGTAGCAGATCTCTAGAACTTTTCACCTTGCACAATTGAAACTCCATACTCATTAAAGAATTCCCCTTCCCCCTCCCCTCGCCTCCATCAACCACCATTCTACTTTCTGTCTCTAAAGGTTGGATTGCTCTTGGTACCTCATATAAGTGGAATCATACAGTATTTGTCCTTTTGTGACTGGCTTACTTCATTCAGCATAATGTCCTCCAGGTTCATCCATGTTGTAGCATGTGACAGAATTTCCTTCTTTTTATAGGGCTAAATAACATTCCGTTCTATGCATACACCACACTTTGTTTATGCATTCTTCTGTCGTTGGACACCTGTGTTGCTTCCAACTTTTGGCTATCATGAATAATGCTGCAATGAGCAGTATTACTGTGTTGGAAAAGCTCTTTGGATACAAGAAGTAACCGAGGTCTTTACAGAATGGCAGCCAGAGTTCCCTATTCATTTGCTGTGGGCCAGACACTGCTCTGCAGGATCTCAGTGGATAGGCTCATCACCTCCTGAAGGCTACCTTTGCAGGGAGGCGCCACAGTGACCCTCATCTTTGTCCAGGTGGTGAGAGAGCAGAAGCAGCAAGAGTTCTAAAGTGTGGATACCACAAACTCTGCCTGTGCCAGGCGCTGGGGTGGGTATTTACATATGTTATGTGCTAGGACAAGCAGTACTTGAGAGTTCTCCAGGGATCTAATTTTCTTTTTGGAAGACTGGCCCTGTGCTAACATCTGTTGCCAATCTCCCTCTTTTTTTTTCTCTCTCTTTTTCCTCCTGAAAGCCCCAGTACATAGCTGTGTATCATAGTTGTAGAGCTATAGCTCTCCTATGTGGGATGCCACCTCAGCATGGCTTGATGAGCTGTGAGAAGGTCCGCGCCCAGGATCCGAACCGGCAAACACTGGGCCGCCAAAGCAGAGCTGCGGACTTAACGAGTGCACCACTGGGCCGGCCCCAGGGATCTAAATTTTAACCTCCATGCTAAAGGGATAGTAGCCTGAAGGCTATGTGTCCTGGAAACATTAAAAAAAGTTATGATTTCAAAAAATTCAGAAGAAGGAATAAACATATCATACCCTTTTGACTTAAGTTAATACAGTGGTAAAACTGGTGTGCCATCAATAAAACTCAAATAGCGAACACTCCTTAACTACATCAATAAACAGCACTTTTATTTCTCTACCTCTTTCACATTTTCTTTTTGCTTTATTCTTAAAAATATATATCTGCTTTATTAAAACCGTAAGCATTGCAATCTGTTAAACTCTGATACAACAATTAAATGAGATTGTGTAATACCAGGTGAAAGGTGGTTAGAAGAGTAGAGAACCAGCCCAGTGACCCAGGATCAAACCCCCACAGCTGTGAGACTTTCTGCAAGTTAATTAGCCTCTCTGGCCT